GGTGTCCCTACTTAGCTTAACAGTCTACCTGGCTTTCCCAGCTTTGCAGCCTTTCCTGGCTCCTTAGCTGCTCCAGGCCTCCAGGCTTGAGTCTCTTTTGAGCTGCCTGCTACATCCCCTTTCCCCTGCAGGTCCCAAAAATGAAGCTTTCCAGAAGGAGTCTGCTACCCTCTCCTCTTCCTCTGTTGCACACATGTAACAGGGTTTAGGTTCCCAGTTACAGCATCTTTTAATCAAGTCTAGGCACATTATGTTTTCAGGGGTTAAAGGATACTGCACTCATGTCATGAAACAGTCAAAGGCTTGACTGCACATAAAAGTGCACGTTATTCAGTATTCAATATAGTTACAATATCTATTCACGTCCAGTATGAGGTCCCCACCCCATTCAATGCGGGTAAAAGCCCCTCTTCTCAGATTTGAGTACAAGGCAGGGGAAAGGGAGGAAAGGTGGCTCCTGTGTCTCCAATTCTCGCCCTGAGTTCAGGGCAAGGCCAGAATCAGAGCTATAGCAGCTGCCTGCCCCCGCAGACTTTGCCCCTCACTTTCCCTGCCTACTGTCAAGTGAGGCTCTAACTCTGGCTTCATTCCCTCCTGAGGGCAGAGCACATGGAAGCTCTGGCTCATGGTTGGCTATACCGCAGTGGCAGCTCTGGTAGAAAGATTGCTCAGAGCTGAAGTGTACATTCATCCAGCCAGGGGACACTAGAGGGCTTCTCGCTAGGCCACCTCCAACCCCTAGGGGAGCCCACTACTTGACAGCCTGCCATTTCCCCTGTCTAGGAGGGGGACAGGCTGTCAATAGGCAGCCCCTTAATTTTAAATCACCCTGAATTCAGCTTAGATAAAGGCTGCACATAGGGTGATTTAAAAGTTGGAGGCATGGGGAAGCAGGACCAAGGAAAACCTCCCCATCCTTAGTTTCCTGGCTTTTAAATTGCCATGTGTGCTGCCCAATTAGATGGCCCACAGGACCTTTAACAGCAGTTTGACTAGGAACTGTGGCTGAGAGACCCTCCCTAGTCTTAGTTCCCAGCCCAGTTGGGTTTCAATTTGCTGTCTGTGCTGTAGGGGACTGTGGGATATTGGTATCCTCCACACCCAGGAGAAGCAGGTAGGCATTTAAGTTAGATCAGGAGGAGGGAGATCTTACTCCTAGGTATCCAATCTAATTTCTTGCATAACAGCCTCTTCTACAAGAAGTCCCATGAATGGCTGTACACTTTTCTGTGCTGGGAGAAAGACTTTTCTCACAGCACAAATGTAATGCCTGTTTGTGGCCTGCATTCACCCCTTAGTTTACCTTGCTAGTGAAGCCATAGCTTCTGTCAGTGAAATGAAAAATCACCTTCCCAACCAACAGTTATATTGATAAAACCTTGAAGTGTGGACCAGGCTTTAGATAATTTTTTCCACTACTATTCATAATTTGTAACCTCTTGCATGGTTTTTTAAAGAGTTTTTAAAGACTTTTAAGAGTTTTTTAAGACTTTTCCCAAATGTGTGGCATGCTTTAATATTTCAGGTTGAAAACAAGATGGTGTGAAAATATTCCACCCCTGAGACAACTGGTGGAGTTAGCTTGGTGTTTTTCATTGTTTTTCATTTCAATGTTTCTCATTATTTCTGTTTGGGAATGATAACCTTTTCCCACAGAGTAGTGCTAGTATTGCAGTATAGCTAGAGATGAGAAGAGTGGTGACATGTAGGGGGTAGATGGGGGTGCATGTGCACCCCCTGATAGTGCTAGCTGGGGAGTGGAGGCTCCAGGAGAAGCAGTCCCCCTGAGGCCAACTGTGCTCACTCAGAAGTGCCAGTGGCATGCCACTGCCACTTGTGGGTCAGCAGGACCTGCCATGGGAGGACCCTGCCCCCCCCCGTCACTAACTGTCCGCTGGAGGGGGAGGGGGGGCAAGTGCCCCCCAGCTCAGGAGGCACCAGTCACCCATGG